TAAAGAGATCTTATCTATCTATTTTAACTTACTAGCATCTAAACTATCTCTTTCAACATTACCACAACAACTTTCACACAATTTGAGAAGAATCTTCCCATGTAAACCCAATGACTAATATAATATTAAATATTTTGTAGATCTTCTCTGACCCCACTATGGCTTTAAACATTTGCCCAATAACTATATTATACAAAAACCTAAACTATCAGCTAAGCCAATCTCAATTAAAACCAAAGTTAACTATACCTTCTCTATTTGGAACTATGAAATAGCAAAAACTTTTTAGCAGAAATAGATAATCTCTATAAATTTACTCTTTTTTTTCCAGCTTAATACATAGAGATTAACCCAATAAACAAACCTAACCTTCTAGACGACCTTACTCAAATTACCTAAATAAATATCACAGCTCCTATTATATTAGCCAAACAGCTTGTTAACCTATTTTGTAAACTTCAAAATTATTACTTCTTTGCTAAAATATCATCTAGCTAGATTAAAATTTTATCAAAATTTAATACTGGTGACTACTCACAACTACCAAACTATATAGAAGAATTAACTCAACAACTACAGCATATTAAACCAAGCTTTGCACAACTCATATCTATTACCGATAGACTAGCAGCCTTAGATATTATTACTAAACTAAAATCATATTTTTCTTTAACATAATACCTAAATACCTGCTTAGCCTTCTCAACCTATCAGAGCCTGAATAGCAAATCTTTGACAACTACACCTCTACCAACCCCTACTCTAAGACAAACTCATCCAAAACTCTTATTACTACTACATCTACCAACCTCAACAATAAATAACTATAACTACCTACTACAATATTTTCCACTAACTAACCAAATATCTAACTAACCCAACATCTAATTTAAATACTCATACTATAACTAGCTTGCATGTTTTGAACTATAATATACAGGGTCTCAACCAAGTTCTAAAACTACAACTTATTTTTAAACACTGCAACTTAAATGAAATCTATATCACTTTCTTTATGAAAACAAAGCTTGCTATATCTACTAATAATCTCATATCACTTTTTAATCCTCTATACAAGATTTATATAGCAAATTGTGACTAAATTAATACAATTATTCAAGAATCTAGCAAAGAAGTGGCAATTGCACTCAAACTCATACTATAGTTTTACATATACAAAATTAATTTACTACCTAGCATCACCTTTTTAATAGACCTTTACCTTCTAGCTAATAATAAAACATGACTAATTGCTATATACTTTTTCTTACTAATTACACTACATATTCAAACCACCTAACAACAATTAATTTCTTGGATCCAGGATGTCTAGTCATACAATATGAACCTTATTATTGGAGGAGACTTTAACTACAATACTTAAGAAACAACTACTATAAGCACAAACCCTTTCTTCAACATCTGGTTAATATAGGACTAATAAGCTTACTACAACTACATTACATTACTAACCCTACCTGAAGCAGAAACCAATCTTATAGCCAAATTGATAATATTTGGATCAATTTCAAAATAGTACTCACTTTTTACATATCAACTCTTTTACAATTACAAATAGTGATCACCAAATTATTACAACAGCCTGGTATACTACTTTAATTCACAAACAACCATGGCAAAAAAAGCAATACCAAAAAATTTACAACTACAACTATATGACTCAAGACTATAAAATAACTTTGCTGCATATATTACCAACTATCTAAGAGCTACAACACATCACCAAAACCTGATTACAAATATTAAACAACTAAACAAAACTTTTAACAACCTTAAAAACATAGTAAAACAGGCTGCAGATAAATTCATCTCTTATACTTTTACTAGTCTATACATTTTCTATATATATTTACTCAAAGCTAGCTTTTTATACCAGGCACTTAAACATATTAATCACATCCTGCAGATGCTTGCTTGGTCTATTCCTTTCTACCCACAATATCTAACACTTATTATTAACCAACTTTTTAACAAAATTAATGCACTAAATAAAAGCTTATAGAACTCTTCCTATAGATTACTTTTACCAAAACAGGAACAAGAAGAAAAATCTTTCTTGCAGAAATATCTTTAAATTTTACTAAGTAATTTGATATCTAGCTTCTAAGTAAAGTTATCCAGCACCTGGAATAGCATTTAAAAAAGATGCATTTTTCAAGAAAAGCCATCTTTTTGCAAAGTAAACCTCAATAAATGTTGAAAAAGACAAAAAACCAGTTTTTTCATTCTCTAGCAAAAGCAGTTTTAAGGACTACCAATATTCAAGCACTTTATAGCAAAGTACTATTAGCCTTTTATACCAAAATATCAAAAAGTACCAAACAACTCACCTTACCAAGCCCCAGCCTTTATTTGAAAATATAACATCAGTAAGCTTTCCTGGCTTCTTTGGCTATTTTTCTACATCCCGCAAGTCTGCACAACAAAACACTGCCCTGCTACAATACAGCCACCAGCTCCAGAAATGGAACACACAAAAAATTTTTTTAAAATTACTATCAAAGATTGGTCTAAACTTATCTTAACTATCAGCTTCTCTATCCCAGAGTATACTAATGATTTCCTCTTCTATATTGAAATTACCAAATTTGAAAAAATTCCAAACTTGGTTAACTTTTTACTACAATGGATATGCAAACACAATGATCCTACCCAATTAGTCCTACTTGACCTTATCATACAAAAAAATAATATTGTAAACATTAGTGCCAAGCATTCCAAATCATCTCGTAGCTGTGACCTTACTAATATTACCAATACGTATAAAAGTTGCATGAAACCTTATACCAAAGTTAAAAGCATGGCCAATCTGCCAAGAATCTTGTACAATACTATAAGCCAACTAGAATCTGACAATGAATCCAACAAAAGTAGCATGAAGATGTCACATATTCTACAACCCCCAACATATCCAAACTCACCCCTACAGACCCACCTAGACCTCCCACCAATATTATGCACAATATGAACAAAGACACTACTACTGCCACAAATATACACACTACCTCTTCTACTCCTGCTACTAGCAGTACACACCCAACCAACAACTTCATAGCTAGTAATACCACCAAACCCAATCTATCTAGACCTGGTACACCAACTAAGCAAATTACCTTAGCACTAAACCTACCAACTGCCTCCAATACTACTATCTCAACAGCTACACCCAGCACTAATATCAATTGTAAAAGATCTAGAAATAATATCTCACTACTGGCTACTACTCCAAACAAGGCCACCAAAGCAGCATCTGGAAACATGATCAGATCCTTTTTAATATAGAGGCCAATACTCCAAAACCCTTATATAGCCAAGTTGCAAAAACTAATCTTAGCCTCCTTTCTATAGACACCCCAGATAACATGGAATAGGCCACATTGGTATACAAAAGAATTATGTCTACAAACACACCTTTTGACTCAAATACTTGGTCATATGACAATATCATCAACACACTCAAAACCCCTACTAGAATTTACAAGTTTATTAGCTATAAGCTCTCTGCTACCTATATCAAACAACACTTACCTTAGGCAATCTTTCTCAAATTTGCCCATTGTGATACACGGTTCTTTACTACCTTTACACATGATCTGAAAACCATGCTAGCACACCAAAAAGAGTATACATACCTTTTCAACAAAGCACTAAAAGCATATAAAGAGAAACATGAAATTACACTCACCAATCTAAATATTTACAACACTATTGGCATAATGCTGAAAAAAATATTAATTTTGCAACACCTTACCAATATAACCTTTCAAGTATACTGCAAAGAAAGAACAATCCACAAAGACATTCACTATATGCGAGGCTTTTTAAAAATAAAAGACATAAACAAAGAATCCTACAAAGAAATTAAAAATCATATTAACAAAGCCTTCGAAAATAGACTCAACCTACTTCCGAATCTCCTAACTAAATACTACAAAAATCTACAATATACTCCCCTTTAAACTACCTATTACACAATGCTTCCACACTAAAGCAATAGTAAATGCACTAAGAAAAGTTTACAAGTTTTCAGAACTCCCTGCATCATACTTTGCCAAGCTTCCCAAACTCTCTGCCCACTATAGTGGACTCCTAGCTAGCTTATATCAACTTTTTCCAATCTCTCACAGATCAGCACTCCAGTATCTTGCTATATACAAGAGAAAGCTCGCCAACTTCTACACAGTAACCCAAATTCCAGACACATACTTTAACTTGCCACCACCCAAAAGACCCTACCAACCATCTAAATCCTAAAGTTTGCAAGTTCTTTCCTTACAACTAGGCAACATTCCAAGTTCCACTCACAGAAGTCATAGCAATACTCAGAGAGTATTATATATTCAAACTGCTACCTAATAATTTCTTTGTACTAAAACCCCCTTCTCATGGACCCAGATAAAATTAAAACCAACACAGAATTTATATATCTTATCATAAATGATACAGTGGCAAAGGAGTTCATTTAACAGGTCTTTCCAAAGTACAAAATTAGATTTTCTCTTTCAACCAAGATCATGTAGGCAAATCCTACCAACAAACCAAACTTCTCACCAGCTACCCAAATCACTTAAGAGTTCAATATTACCCTCCCAATCACAACACCCCAACAGCTCATTAACATCGGCAAATCTCTCTAAAAACATTACTACTTCACACAACTTCCTTTAGACTAGATCCAAATCAGTACCAATAATGCCCAGATATAGAAGATATAAAGTCTTTACAAAATACAAGCATCTTATCTAACATTCCCTCAGATATAAAGGTGATTATTGAAACTTTATCCAGATATGAAATTATTGTCCCACTTCCAATTCAGAAACAACAGGACATCACCTCACCATGAAGACTCTTAAACAGTTTTTCAAAATTCAAACAATATCAGATTCTCTACTACAACTTCCACCACTACCTGCTCCCAAATTGAATATATTTAATAATATCTATACTCAAACACCACCCTTGTCCCCTAGCATAGTTCAAAGCTTTGCACTCGCACCAGAAATAGACCTAATGGAAAGCAACACCCAACATGAAGTAACAACCATCATAACTGACAACACTCACCCTACAACGGATTTTCAACCACTTCTACTAAAGCATATACACTTCTAGAAGACAACTCTACTCCAATAGATACAAATGAACACTTGAATGAATAACTTGAACAAATACAAATTCTAACCTCCCACATAGCTCTCTTTACCTACTTATACTCTCCATATGTACACACAATGCTCAAAGCTTTAACGCCACTACCAAAAAAGAAGTCTGGGAACAATACTGCCTTTAGCAAAACTTAGACATAATTAGCATTACAGAAACCAAACTCTCTAACAAAACAACTACAAAAAAATGCTTCAAGACCCAATACTACACCTATCTTTAGTCCTGCACAGATAGCTCCAAAGCAGGAACAGCCATTATGATCTGCAACACCCTCACCTTACATATTCACAACATTTGCATAGTGCTAGAATATGCCATTGCTATCAATCTCTTCTTCAAATATAACTTCAAGTTCTGAATTATCTCACTCTATCTCTCTAGCAATGACGCACAACTTCGACTGCAGATCCAAAACAGCATTATTCAGTAGTTGCAACAAGCCATAGTACTAAATATTGCTCTGATAACTCTAGGAGACTTCAACACATCCACAGAAAATATCCACTCCCAATCAATCAAACTCAAACTTACCCAGTATCTCACATTCAATAATATATACAACTTCACCTCACACTCTCACAAATTTGCACCTACATGGCACAAAGCCAATCTTAGCAGTGAAATCGATTTCATCTGGGCCTACCAACCTATTCTCCAATACCTTACTGATTATGATACAGACGACCCTAGCACTAGTACTCAAAGCAACTACAAAATCCTTATCTCCTGCTGGCTCTTTCCTTATGCAACAGTAGAACAACAAAGACACAAAACACGTACCCGCAGACAAGTTTTTGATTACAAAACAATGACCTCTGAAACATGAAAGGACTTTACAAACCAAGTCAGTACAAATTTACAGCAACACAACACTCCTTACAACCACAACCTCAGAGTCTCTTGAAACTATATAGCATAAAATCTAAACCAACCTTATCACAGCTGCACTTTAGCATATTCCTAATAAAAAGTTTGCAGTATGCAACTTTCACTACACATTCTCATCTAAAGCTACTCAGCTCTACCACAGCCTTAAAAAGCTTGAAATTATAATCAGAGTTGGAAAACACCTATCCAAGTTTAACCAACAGACTTCATTACACTTTAGTACCACAATAGCGCAACTTAACAGACTACACAACCTGGAGATATCTCCTTATACAGTTAATACTGACTAGATAACAAAAGCAAATGCCAAGTGGAAGAAGCTATACCACTTATGCAATTTGAAAAATATCAGACAAACACGATACCAAATTACAGAAACAATCTTCAAAAGATGTACCAAGCTCTAAACCAATCCAACTTCAATGCTTAACAGTATTCTAAACTGGTACAAAGATCCTGTTAAATTTGACATCATCAAACTTAACCAGGATGTTATTACAGACTCTACCACTATCAAATCATATATCCAACAGCACTTCAACAACTAAACTACTATCTGTCCAATCAATGAAACACTATTCAATACAAAGTGGCAAGCCAAATACAACTCCAAACCTTATATCTAGCCAGATTGGTACCAAGAGGCATTTTCTACTTTCTCCCAAGAGAAGATACTTACTACACTCAGTCAACTACCCAACAACAAAGCTTGTGGCTCTTCAGGAATAAGCTATAAGATGTTAAAACATGCAGGCTCCTCTTTTCTACAAGCTACAACCACACTTCTAAACAGATACCTTCTCATCCAAACAATTTCCAAATAATAAAGAGAAGGCAAAATCTATTCCATCTTTAAGAAACTAATTTTTGATAGAAACTTAACAAATACCAGGCTCATAAGCCTTATAGAGCATATCAAAAAGCTGTATACTAAACTTCTTACTAACTGTTTAAACAACATCTTATCAAAGCACTCTATCCTATCTTCTTTTGATTATGTTGCACTTCCAGGCAACTTCACCTTTATTCCAATCCATATTCCTAATAATATTATAGAAGATGCAGTCTGTAACGCCAATCAACTATGGATACTTTCACAAGATATAAGCAAAGCCTATGACTCGGTCAACTTTGGCTTATTTCAAAAATCATTACACAGAATCGGCATGCCAGATCCTCTTATTAAAATTCTTACCAACCTTCTCACAGATCAGTCCAATAGAGTTATTACCAATCTCAGCCTTACCAACTCCTATCATGTCTAAAACAATATTGATTAGGAAAAAACAATCACTATTCTGGAAAATCTACTATGACCCACTTATTACAAAAATCTCCACACATCTATCAGGCTACACCATGCAGACCTTATAATAAGCAAGTCTAATCTCACTCTCCACCAAGAGGCTACACTACTTTATATCACTCCTTGCATATATAGATAACACTGTTTGGATTGCCAACACCAAAGAAAACTTAAAATTATTCAAACTGCTTTATCTTTCTACAATATAGCAAACATCCAAGTCAACCTCTCCAAATCAACTTTTATATCAACCCAACCTGATGCTAATATCTCTTTTTGGCAAACAAATCTAACAACTATTCCACCTAACCAACCATTCAAGTTTCTAGGATGTTGGTTTACAATTAATAACAAACATACTAAGCAAATTAAGCATATCTAAGAGGAAGCTCTTAACCTAGCCTATACTGCCAACTCAAAAAAGATAACAGACAAACAAATAGCCTATGTTATTATTATAGTCATAGTCTCTACAATAGTATATAGAATTCACAACATAGTTATTCTATATACTACTTGTACCCAAATTCTTGGCAAATATCTTATAATTGCCAAACACAAATACCACCTGTCTCGATTTACCCCTAATAGCACAATGCTCTGTTACCAAATCTACAACATACACAACATCTAGGATGTACAGCTCCTGCACCACACCAACAACCTACTTCTCAGAATTAATAACAGCTCTATACTCAGTACTGCTACTCATATTAGATTGCAGCAATTACAAACAATTTATGGTCAACTACCAGCATATTACAACACTTCCAGCCTACTATAGATGGACTCAACAGACATACTACAACATTTAAAATAATTTAAATATTATGGCAAGCTAGTATCAGTCTAACTATAAATCCTAACAGAGCCTGGCCACAACTAATTTAAGACAGCAATATACTACTTGAGCCCATACTTGCAAAAAGCCCCAAGTACAATGTATTCAAACAATAGCTCTAGAAAAAATATATTTTCTATCTAGAACAGCTTAGCTCAGCAGACAACAAATACCTACTAGAGTGGCAACACATCTTACCCAGACTCTGTCACCTTCTCAAAGAGAAGAAACTAGGCTAGTTCTTATTTCTGGAAAATACAATACTGAATAGCCCACAGTACTGTCTAATACACCCATAGCACCAACTACCAGGAATTAACCCTTTTGCTAACCAAACTGATACAATTCCAAAAAGATTAAA